CCTGGATACAAGGGCGAAAATCATGGTCTGGTTTCGTGGTGATGACGCCCTTATTGGTTCTTTGGTTATGAGTGTAGGATTGCGGGGGGGATGTGTGCGCGTGTCTTGTGTGTGGATGAGAGAGAGAGAGAGAGAGAGAGAGAGAGAGAGAGAGAGAGAGAGTATATATAAGATTGGGTGGGCGTGTGTACTCTATATTATGGGCGTGCGTGTGTAGGTGTGTGTATTTAAGAGAGAAAGAGAAACTTTTAAAACCAACCAGAAGAATAAACAGTTGTTAAGTACACACCCCACCCCACCCTAACCCACCCCACCCTAACCCAACCCAACCCAGCCCACCCCACCCTATCCTAACCCAACCCAGCCCACCCTACTACCTAATCAACCATCTGTCTGTCTGGTACATCTTCTTCCGTGTGCTAGATACATATTATTCCTATGAGTATAAGCGTGTGGGGGCTAGAAACACCTGAGGGTTTGGGGGTCCATGGTGTAAAGGTGAAGTAAGGAGGGTCTTTATGATTCCTTGAGGGGGGAGGGTTAGTTAAATGGGTCCTTAACACCATCTCACACGTACATTCATTCCTCTACACGGGTTAAAAATGATAATTCCTCTTCCCAGTAACCAGTGTCTGTGTAGCTTGATGGAACACGAAGGAAATAAGAAATACAATAGTCTTCCCTTCGGTAACTTAGGTTAATAATCTCCTCCGTTTTCTATTGCTTGTTTTAGTATTATTTTGAGTTTTTTTTGGTCAGGGGATAGGAGATGATGATGGAATAGCAGAAAATAGAAAGAGGAAGGTGAAATAAGGAGAATATAATGAGAAAAGGAGGGAAGAATAGAAAAAATAGATGGAAGAGAAGCAATAGAGAACGACAAGTGGGAGAGGTGGTGGAAAGGGGAGCGAATTCATCGTGGAATGAAGAAGGAAAGGAAGAAGAGGTGAAGAGAATGAAATGAAAAAGGAGGAGGAGGTGGTGGTAAAGAAAGAGAAGGGAAGGAAGGAAGGAAGGAAGGAGGAGGGAGGGAGAGAGGGAGAGGGAGAGGGAGGGAGAGGGAGAGGGAGGGGGGAGGGAGGAGGAGGGGAGGGAGAGGAGGGAGGAGGAGGAGGGAGAGAGAGAGAGAGAGAGAGAGAGAGAGGGGAGGAGGGAGGGAGGAGAGAGAGAGAGTGTCATAATGTGAAGACCACCAGATCACAAGACGGGGGCGAACCACTGAATAATTCCAACACGACAGACGGAGCAGGAGGAGGAAGATGATAAGAAAGAGCAGGAGGAGAAGATGATCATGAATAAGAGATGGAAGAGAAGAGGAGAATGGAGGTGTTGGAGGAAGAGGAGAAGAGCAGCAAGAGAGAAGAGAGAAGATGGAGGTGTTGGAGGTAAGACATCAAGATACCCACTGTATTCTTAATAAATTAATATCACAAGTCGAGGAAGGGAAGGGTAGGGGATGAGGGATGGGGGGTGTAGGGGATGAGGGATGGGGGTGTAGGGGATGAGGGATGGGGGGGTGTAGGGAGGTGAGGAAAAGGGGGTAGGGAGTGAGATAGTGAAGCGAGTGTTGTAGTCACGGGATGTACTTGTTATGGACATCAGGGTGTAGCAACTTGTCCTGTGTAGTACAAGGGTGTTACTGTTGAGGTTGTGTGTGTGTACGGGGGTGTAGGCTGAGTAGTGGTGGGAGGGTGGGTGTAGGGTGAGGAGGGGTGTGGATAGGGGTGGTAGTAAGTAGTAATAGTGGGTGGTGGTTGTGATATTTTAAAGAAGTGGTGTTAACGGGGTGGTGGTGGTGGCGGCCATAGTAGTGAATGGTGGTAATAATAGTAGTAGTGAGGGTTGGTGTTGGCAGTGGTGGGGTGTGGCAGGAGTGGTAGTTTTAGTAGTAAGTGGTGGTATTAATGTACAGAACATGGAGGGAGAATCGCAGTACAACAGCTGTTAGTGTACGAAGAGAGAGTATAGAAGTTTTCCCTTGGTACGTCTACTCTCTCGCTCTCTCCCCTTCTCTCTGTCTTCTTTATTCGTCGTCGTCTTTGTCTCCTCCTCCTCTTCCTGGTGTGTACTTTACCCGGAAACCTGGTTTAAGAGCCGGAAGCCTAATTTAAGAAACGTGGAACCTTTTAAGTTTAGAAATATGAAATCTCACTTTAGAAACCTGAAGCCCACTTATAGCTGAAACCTGAAGCCCACTTATAGCTGAAACCTGAAGCCCACTTATAGCTGAAACCTCCTAAAAACTGAAACCTAAGATTTTACTCCCCATATTACTTAAAATGTTGAAATACCTTAAGTTTAAGAACGAAGGGCATGAAGGGAGGTGGGATAGAATGTGGAAGAGGGGTTGGGTATGAGAGGTGGGGATGGGGTGGGGGACATGGGTGGTAGGATGGAGTTAGATAGGCTGGGCTGGGGAGATAAGATGGTGGTGGGGAGAGAAGAAGGGTGGGAGGTGAGCCAAACTTGACACTGACGAGGGTTTGACAGGAATTCGACTCTCACTATCTCTTATCTGTTGACCTTACGGGGAGGGGGAGACGGTGACCTTGTTTATCTGGAGAACATCTATTTGACCTTGTTTTGATGACCTTATTAACTGGTAAAGAGGCAGTGAATTTACAAAGACAGGAGGAAGGAAGGAAGTAAAGAAGATACAGAAGGGGGAAAGGAGGGATGGAAAATGAGAAGAAATAAGGAAGAGAGGGAGAAAGAAAGAAATGAATGAAGGGAAAAGAGGGACAGAGGTTAAAGCAGAAATATCTAACCTGAGGGAAGTTCACGATAAGAGTGCAGTGCGGGACTGTCTATGCAACACGTACTGAGAGAGAGAGAGAGAGAGAGAGAGAGAGAGAGAGAGAGAGAGAGAGAGAGAGAGATATTTGATTTTGGGGAATACGTGGCAGTACAATCCCATTTACGGTAGTTTAATTTATTTACACTAATTTTTTTATTGATTTTTTTATTTATTTACATTTGTATTTTAGGTTTTTTTTTACAGTGTTTATTATAGATTTATTTGTAATTACTTTAATGTTTGTGTTTTATTCATTAATACCATTTATCTTAGTTACAGGGTACACTATTATGAGAGTTCTATTTATTTACAGTTTATATTATTTTCGTAATATTTATTTACAGAATGTGTTAATTTACAGTAGTTTAGTATTTTCTATTTGCAGTATTTTCTTTTTTTACGGTGACCTAACAGAAACGGTGACATTTGGAGAGGGAATTTCGGGCTGGTGACCTCACGGGGTCAGGGGTGCCGGAGGTGCGTGGGGATGACCTTGTCTGAGCGTGGGACTGCTGGGGGGTGACAGTTAGCCCGCCTGTTACACGACCTTCACTCACTACACTGTGTCTGTATGTTCAACCAGGCGCAATGACATTAAAAATACAGTAGTGACGTACAGGAGATACAGTGACTTACAGTGGCTGGCTCACAGTGACATACATACATTAGTGACATACAGGAAATGTAGTGACATACATAAGACACTGTGACACACTCTCGGTGGTCTGCTGTAGTGAAGGGAACTAAACCTGTTGGTCTGCTTAAGCAAATTAGTGGCGGAGGTTTTTAGAAGAGAAATTAAAAATAAAATGTTTAATATTCTGAACTATATCATTATTATTATTATTTCACGTCGTGGTTCTTCTTCTGGCATGCTTCTCATTCCAGTTTTTAAGTTAAATAATGGAAGAAAGTAGACAATACTTACCGTGTGCACTCGTGTAAAATGAGTGGGTAATCTACCAACAGTTAATTCTATATCATATCGCCATCTTACTCTGTTACCTTTTTTATACCAAGTTATGTTTTGTTTAGTCATTGAAATTCATTGTTATTCGTGGTGTTGACATGTTTAAAATAGTCGTATTGTTTTGTGTGTTTAAAGTACAGTTTAAGCGTCAGTAATTTTGTCTACAAGTTGTTGCCGTATTTTCTCGTATCTGATCTCATAACAAAGTGGTGTCATATTGTCCATTGTTGACAGTATACAAATTGGTACCACATTATTAACACCAATTACGTGCAGTGTTGGTATTTTGCACAATTTGGGAGAGAGATGGGTGGGTGGTGAGCAACACAACCACCAGCAACAGCAGGTGACTACTGAGGGAGGGGGAGAGAAAGTGGACAGCTGACGGAGAGGTTGGCAACATGTGGCAGTCTTGTGTTATTTATACCGGCTGGTGTTTGTGCCGTTTCCCTATTTACCTCCATGTAAACTTCTTCTCCTCCCCTACCTCTCCTCTTCCACTTCTTCTTCTCCTCTACCTCCCCTCTTCCACTTCTTCTTCTCCTCTACCTCCCCTCTTCCACTTTTTCCTCCTCCTCTACCTCCCCTCTTCCACTTTCTTCCTCTTCTCCTCTACCTCCCCTCTTCCACTTCTTCTTCCTCCTCCTCTACCTCCCCTCTTCCACTTCTTCTCCTCTACCTTCTTATTGTTTCTCTACAACCTGTTTTTATTCTTCTTTTATCTTATCTATTTTTTTTTTATCTGTTGAATATTTGTGGCCCTTTTATAACCCCTCTGGTCATGTGTATTTATAACTTTGGCTAATTATAACCCCGGTGGCCATTTATAACCTGTAGCCATTTATAACCTGTAGCCATTTATAAACCCTGTGACCCTAATCGTGACCTTTGTGTGAGCTTCTGAACGGTGGTGATTGGTATCTTGTAACTCCCCTGTTTGACCTTACCGATACGTTCTCTAGTTGACCTTGTTGTTAAGTTTTCTGTTTGACCTTTCGTGACTCCTTGGTGTTTAGGTCATTGTTTTATTTATAACTGACTGTATGTGACTTTATTTTACAGTATTTTAAGTTAAATGATCGTTTTCCTCGAGTATTGTCGATTGACCCCAATTGGCCTGATCTGGTGATGTATTTATATGACCTGTTTTAACCATTGAATGATTATATCTTTTTCAGTTGGACGTTTTGACCTTACATGACCTTGTTGTAATGTGATGTTTTTGTGTTGCAGGTCAAGGAAGAACTGATCTCAGGGGGCCTCCACGTAGCTCTGGCCCGGCGAGCACTGGGCGGACCAAGTCAACCAGGGTCACAAAGTTACCTGCTTCCAGAGATGATCACAGCAACCACGAGTCGACTACGTTGCTGCGGCTTCTGGAGAGGAACTTAGAATAGAAGGTTTAAGAAAGACAACCAATCACCACCAGCCACCTCCCCTTGACGCCACAGTCTCCAGAATCAACAGCTTCTAGACCTGTCAACTATTCATTGCGAATTTTATCTCCTGACATCACAGTTTGGACAATCACCAATTAGTCATGACATGACAAATATCCTTCTTTTGTCGTCATAGCTTTTAAAATCTTTCAAACCAATCATCGCAAACATCGTCATCTGACGTCACAGTTTCTAAAACCCCTCCCTCAATCATCGCAATCATCATCTGACGTCACAGTTTCTAAAACCCCTCCCTCAATCATCGCAATCATCATCTGACGTCACGGCATCTAGAATCCTTAGCCAATCATCGAGAACCTATTTCCCTGACTTCACAGCTTCTAGGATCCCCCTCTTCCTCCCGCCTCCATGACTACTAGCACAACGAAGCATAGAAAATGGAAAGCCGTCTCTCTCATCCTCCTCCCACTTCTTCCTTCTCCGCGTTTCCTTCCAGAATAATCATACGAAGAGGAGGAGGGAGTTAAGGGAAAGGTGGAGGGGAGGTGAGGTGCTGTGGTGGAGACAAAACTACGACCCGGAACCAAAGGGACGCCACCTGCGCCCACCAACACCATCTGTGGGAAGAAAGTGTAACTGTTACTCTCGAGGTGTTTGTATTTAGATCAACACCTGCTCCAGACACAACAGTTCATTTCTTGGTGCTCATGAAGATTTATTTTTTTTTTAGTCATGGAATTGCATGTTGAAAAACCTGGTGATGAGAAAACTTGTGTGTCACAGGCTCACGTAGAGGCAACACCAGATGTTAACTTCATGTCACAGAATCGCATGTTGACAAGACTTGATAATATTTTTTCCCGTAATTTTGAACTTTACTTTCATGCCTACAATATTTTTGAAAAATTTCTTTGGGATTTTCGCTGGAACTTTCGTTTTAATGCATAGAATGTAAATCCTGTGGAAGAGCAAGGAAAAACGACTGAGTTTCCTTATAATTTGCAAGCAATCTCGATTCCTCGTGTATGTTTCGATTATTTAAAAACTAAACTATTGCAGAATTGTCTTGATTATAGCAGCAATGTATCACTTTAGTTAAAATGTTGGGCTCAGTGGTTTGCTTCTGTTGAAATCCATTGAGGTCAATATTTTTTTTGTGTAAATTGTCGAAGCACCAAAGGCATGGGGGCCATAACATGCTTGCCACTTCTAAAGTAAATTCTGAGTAGTTTCATCCTTGCTTTAAAACAAAATCCCGATAAAATAATTAAGGGCGCGAAAATACACTTCATCATTACTTTTTATTCTCCATGTATTGCCACCAAAAAGATGTTTAAAAATTTTGAGATGAATATATATGTCTTCATGTAGATGTTTATCGATGTAGATAGTCAAATGAGTAATGAATTTATATAAAAAATGAAGTAGTTAGACAGAAAATTCATGTATGGCTTAAATTGTTGATTAATAAGTTTACATAATAGAGTGGGTTTACGGTGTCCACGGTTTACTTGAGCCTTGGTGTACCCAGTGCCACGTTCTGACTGGTTTACCTACCTAGCTCTCACAAGTAGGACTTCGATGACTCCTCCATAGGTTTACCTGGACTACGATTCGTCTAGAAGTTACTTTTGCTGAGCATGGTTCACATACGACTAAAGCTTGGCTAGTTTACTTGTCTGAGCTAGGGTGTAATTCCAGTTTACCTGGCCATAATATACCTAGAACTTGGCTTGAAGTTTACCTTGGCCATGAGGTACCAACATTGTTAGTTACCTAGGGTATCTTGCCTGTGGTTTACTTTGGCCAGAGTTTGCCAGTAGCAGTTTACCATGGTCATGGGTTGCCAGTAGGTTGTTACATGCAGTATACCTTACCCAGGGTTTGCAATAGCAGTTTACCTTGGCCAGAATTTGCTTGGCACTTTTTCTCGGCCGGTTTGAATAGCAGTTTATCATGGCCAGAGTTTGCATAACAGTTTTATTTTGGTCAGAGTTTGTATAGCAGTTTACCATGGCCAGTTTGCATAGCAGTTTACCTCGGCTAGGGATTATCAGCAGTTAATTTACCTTGGCCACACGTGCAGTTTACCTGTTTGTGTGGGCGTGGCGAGGCCCCTCCAGTCACAAAAAAGTAGCATGGGAGTCCCTGAGTGGCACCCAGCTAGTAACCTGTGTTTGTATATTGTAGCTAGGAGCACTACTACCATTACTATTATTATTCTTTTGTACAGTGGGGTTAACAAGTCCAGGGGCGGTGTTGCCCATCTTTACCAAGGTACAAAGTTATAGTTGAGTGAGTGAATGATTCCTCTGAAAATTGTTAAAGGAAAATGTTACCGATACCTATATATATATATATATATATATATATATATATATATATATATATATATATATATATATATATATATATATATATATATATATATATATATATATATATATATATAAAATATGGCCATCCATTGATCAAGTTTAGTTCAATCCATTATGCTGTGTGAGTTCAGAAGAAAAACAAAATCACTAGTGTATAAAGTTTTTGAATGAAGTGATGATAATTTTGAAAACTCCGTTTATTCCTCTAAATGATAAAAATGAAAATAATTTGCTCTTGTATGAGGGTAGAAGCCTTCATGCTGACACCTCAACAACTTCTTGTAGTAAATGCTGTTATATGTATATTGAAACTTTTATGGTAAAGGAGATAAATATATATATATATATATATATATATATATATATATATATATATATATATATATATATATATATATATATATATATATATATAATATATATATATATATATATATATATATATATATATATATATATATATATATATATATATATATATATATATATATATATATATATATATATATATATATATATATATATATATATATATATATATATATATATATATATATATATATATATTTATATATATATATATATATATATATATATATATATATATATATATATATATATATATATATATATATATATATATATATATATAATCAGAGGCTTTTATGTTCAGTTTTGAATGGAAGGCTTTGCTTTCTTAACCCGTCTAGTGATATCTGAGTTATATTATGAATAATTTTTTTTCTTTTTTGGGGGAACCATTTTTTAAGCATTTTCTACAATTAGCACAAATCAGTGGGCAGGAAGGATCACGGCTCGTGTGTGTTTTGTGTTCCCCAGTATCTTTCTTTTTTATTACAGTATTTTTGAATGATAAGACAATCCACATCACCATCAAGAATTTTATTATTTGTTAAGACATCAATTGTCCCACGTTTTTGTTGTCCCTTCATTATGATTATAATTACATGGCCTATATATTGTAAGTATAGTGATTATTTACAATGTCCTTTCATTGTAATTATCTATAATAATTCTCTGGACAAGTGCAAAAGGGGCCATTGTCAAAAAATGCCAATTTAGACTATGGAGTGAGAGACCTGGGTTTCATGTGCCGAAGTCTGAATTGGTATTTTTTTTACATTGGCCCATTTTTGCACCCGGCCAGAGAATTATACTGTACTGTTCTTGCACTTTCCTTTTATTGTGATTATAATTATTATAATTACATGCCACTGTGTGATTATAATAGCATTTCTCTATCATTGTGATAGTTATATTATCATAATACATTATCCCGTCACTGTGATCTGTATTTCATAATTACATTGTCCCTTTATTGTGATTTTCTATAATTGTCAGTTACATATCTGCCCTGGTGTGGCTAGACCAGAGCTTACAGGGTGTAATTTACCCATAAAAATCTGTGATGAAACTGTGGCACCATTTCTGTGATACCTCGATGTGGCCCATTGTCTTTATTCAACTTACTGACCCCACTGTAAAAAAAAAATGTGTATTTAATGGAATCTTATAGCCAGGTTACGATATTTTATTATTACAGTATTATTATTATAATTTTTTTCTTTTTTTAAGAATTCCAGTCGAGTCTTGTCTCACCCACACACTGAGCCATTGATCATTGCCCCCACCCCCTCCTGCAGACCACCTATAATGCAGTATCACTTGTTTTGGAAGAGTTACCCTTGAGAATGGCAGCCTGCGAAGATATGTTAAAAGTAATACGCAAATATGCAAGAGCAATATAATGACTTAAGAGTTGCAATGACATTAAAACTTAATACTGCAGTAGCAAACAATGAATGTGACCCGAATAATTGTAGCACCAAACCCTCAAACTTCACTTACCCTCAATGAAGTGAAATCTGTTTAATAATTCTTCATTTTCCCCCTGAGAGGCCTGATAACAATGGAAGTAATCAAAGGGTCATTAGTTTAGCACCAAAAATTCAAAGTGGGGAGAAATGCACCGAGAACTCTCATCTTACTCGGGGTATGAAAAAGTCAGTGGTAGGAACTATCGGGGCCATGCATGCCTGTTGTGAATCTCGTCCAAGACTGACACCTGGTCCACTGGCTGGTTGTGTAGGTGTTAGAGGTGGTGTACATACTGCTAGTTTAGTATTAGATATAACATGATGATGATGATGATGATGATTATAATGATGATCTCGGAATTAAGAGAGAAACTTATTGTATTTACTTCTCGACTTGGCTGACTTCTCCTCCAGGTAAACGAGACTAAATAAGGGTAGGATTTCTTAGTTTATGTATTTTATTCTCCTCGTCTTCCTCCTCTGCTTATTCTTCATTCTCTTGCCCTGTTGCTTCTTCTTGCTTTCTTCCCCATTCTCTTTCCTTCTGCTGGTCGTTGTCCTCTTCCTCACATCATGATCAAATTATTTTGGCCACGTTCTAGTAAATATTATTTGCCACAGACAAGTCACGTCCTATTGACAACAGGTGAAGTAAATACTTGAGTGTTTATGGAAATATTTAAGTGTTTAAGATCATGTATTTCAAAATAGTTACTTAAAGTGTACAAGTGAACACTTTTGCATTTATGTAAATGGTTCAAGTGGTTAAGGAGATCCTTGAGTAGTTCAGTGGTGTAAGCAGAGGGTTGTTAAGAATAGCCAGTACTGTATTGTACTTTTACTTTGCTGTATCCTGTACATGTACTCTGAATGAATACTTGTATTATAATGACCACCATTTGTATTCTAGATGCATAACTTTGTGCTCTAAGTTGAATGTGTACTTGTATTGTGCTAAGTTGTACATTGTACTCGGGATTTAAGCCGCTCAAATGCTTACATAAACTTATTGTTGTCAAAAACTTGGGCGGATATGTTTTGCTACTTTCTGTTCTTGGTTTTCCACAGTCCAATACTT